ATTCTGTAGTGATGTCTAACTTTCCTAGGAAAAAAAGTGATTAGATGAAGCACTGTATTTGACACGTGGTCTTAAAGCTGATGAGTTTTTTTCTGTTGAGCTAGAAAGATTGTTTCTGAAATATCCTATATCTTTATTTATGCTTTCTAGATTGGGAAGAAAACTAAGAAATATAAAAGAATAAAACAGCAGATTCAGCAGACCTTATCTCACTATTTTCCCCCTTCTTTTTCATTTGCACTTCTATTTCCATGCAATATTTCATACTTTTATGCATCTATCACTGTTTGCTTCTGTCAGAAGTTCAAAGGCAGCCTGCTTTCATCAAGGAGAGGCAGTATTGACTGATGCATAATATTGTTTCTACCTTTCCTGACCAATCCTAGACGCATATTTCTAGTTTTGAAAAGCATTTCATGAATCACTGGGCAATTTGAAAAATCTATATTGTAAGCTCATTATCGTGCTGGCTGCTGAATGTTTTCCATTGGTTGTGTTTGCAATGCAAAAATGCTAGTTTTACCAGCCCTGTCTGTCAGGAAAGAAAGAGGATCATACATACATAAATAACATATATACATAAAGAGTAAAAGAATATGTGGAGAATATAGAATGGAGATATAGAATATAGATGGAGGATATTCTTTCCCCATCCACCTTTGGATGCCCCACACTCCATTAATCCATGCAAACTTTCATTTTATTCCAACCTCCTTAGCACCTTTACTCTCACTTTTCTAACCTGTCAAAAAAAAAAAAAAAAAAAAAAAAAAAAAAAAAAAAACCAACAGCAAAAAAAACTCCTTGGAATGTGGCACTCCCAGCCATCCTCCAAAATGTCACTAGCTTTAAGCCCAGGACATGCAATATTCTGCTCTAAGCTGGTGATCATGGTTTAAGCTCCTATCTCCTGAGGCTGCAAAGCTAAAAGTGGGACCTTTATGCTTGCTCCTGAGCTCCTTGCCCCAGCAAGTAAAGAGGGATAAAAGATGTATAGGAGTTAATTTCAGCGGAGCCAGGATTTTCCTCTGGAGGAGGCAGATCCAAGGCTTCGCAGACCAGAGAAATATAATGGAAATGATTAAATGATACAACTTTAAAAGGAGTCAGTTTTAGATGAATTGTATATTTTTAAGAAATATCTCCTTGTGCTTTGTCACATATAGAATCTTAGTAACTGAGAGCCTTCATTTCAAAGGCAAAAGGATATCAAAGCAGTCCTGATAGAATTAACCTCCCCCTTCCAATCTATTTGAAGCACTTCCACCACCAACTTTTTTTCTGAAAAACTTCTTCATATACACATTGCGTGATAGGAATGTATTAAAGTCCTTTCAACCCTCCTGCAGAGAAACATGCACAATTCACCCAGAGTTTAACTGCTTATATCAGAACAGATCTCTCTTCTTTTCTGTGAAGGGTGATAGGTAAACAAAATCTTTATTTTCTTTCTCTCTTTCAAACCAAACTGGGCAGAGCTCTAAAGGAATTCTGTGGTCTTTTTCTTTTTCTTTTTTTTTCTTTTTTTTCTTTTTCTTTTTCTTTTTCTTTTTCTTTTTTTTTTTTTTTTTTTTTTAACAGCAAAGGAGCCATCAGTGAGCTGCAAAATAATTAATCATATAAGACTGTCCAGACTTTCATTCTGCAGATGTGAAGCGCTCGGAGAGTCGCTGCAGCTCCCAGTGGAGAGGCACAAACAGGCTCCCTCCAGATACGGTACAAAGAAGGGAGGAATTTCAGTGGCCAGAGCAGCGTTTGCTGGAGTCTCATAGGAATTAGCTGGTGCATTCAGGGAAAATGTCATGGCAAACAACACTGGGGTATCAGCAGGTTTGCTAATCATGGCTTTCATCCGAACTTACATCAAATCTTTTGGCTGCTGTTTGTGAAGATGGACTGGCATGAATGAAAAGTAATATTCATTCCAGGCCARTCATGATACGTTCATAGTTGTTCGTAGCATAAGAAACATGAGGATGCTGCATTTTAACTTTATTAACTTCATAAGAGATCAACCCTGAGAAGTTTCTTTGAAAGGGTGTTTTTTATATATACATACATATACATATTTTTATATATACATGGAAAATCTTTGGAAGACAAGCTGGGTAAAAATGCATTATAAAAGGATAGTTATTTCATTCATCCAGGCAGCTCAGGAAAAGTTGCCGTTTGAACAGTTTTATTTAGGAATCAATGAATGAATTCTGTCACATCAAATCCAGTGTCGGCTTTGAGAAGTTTGTTTCTATCTGCATCACTACTCTTACATGGATTTCTCAGTCTACACAAATTTTGGTTTTATGTCATTTGTGTCTTTCTGAAGCTGCCACAAGCAGATTATTATCTCGTATGTCTCTTTTGCCAGCCTGTAGCTGCCAGAAATGTGTCAGTGAAAAGAGTAAATTGGGAGAGGGGACAATCTCTGTCCCCTGTTAAGCACAAGGAAAGCTCTCCAATGAAAAATTTAGTCACAGCTCTGCCACTTTTTCTGCAAGGCGACCAAGAACATCTGTATATGTTATAATCTGTCTTCACCTCTGACCTCTATAGGAAGAGAAATACCTGTACAATGATGTATGTAGGTCTGTGAAGGATAGTCTTTACCTATGTTTTGCAGCTTCAACTTGAGTATCGAGAACTTAGAGCAATGTGTCAGCCAAAAGGGRCAAACAAAACTGCTGATGGACAAAATGAATGCCTGTAAAACTGGCTTATACTGGATTATGCCAGAATTTTAAACTGTAAGAAAGCCAGCTAAGTATCCCTTGCATTTTGGAAAAAACAAGCAAACAAACAAACAAAAAGAGGAAAAGAAAGAAAAAAAAAAAAAGAAAAAAGGTTGAAGCAGGGAGCCTGATCAACTTTTAGATATTCTTTGACAACTTGTTCTCATGTTGACTAAATGCTTATGAGCTCAACTTAAGTTCTTCTATGCCTAGTAAATCTGTTATGTATACAGATGCATACCTACACTTATGTGTAGACTTAAATACACACAGTTAAAATATAGACATTCAGATAATCTGAACTATTAATTTATAGGAATTTTAAATTAAATAGTTGAGCTGTTTTCCAGATGACTTTTAAAGTTCCCATGACTTCTAAAGTTCCCTTATACATAAAAACCTCCGAAAGATTTTCTTTACTGTACTACTGTACAACAAATACTACTGTATTTGTTTCAGTGTGTTTGACTGCCAAAAATCATGTCTATGACCATCATAGCAATCTAATTAAATACCTAAGCAGCAGAGCTGGACATTATTCAAGTCAAGCTCAGCATTAAATTGGAAAATTTAGTTTGCCTGCTTTATCAGTAGCTTTTGGAACCAGGCTATTCTACCCAAAACCATAAGCTTAATGAATTTGGTCAGACCTCCTGTGTAAGAGTTGTCTAAGATAGAGCTATGAGCCTAAATCTTACAAATGATGGCTCAGTGCAGCATAGCAAAATATATTAGTAAGGTTCAGAAAGGTCAGTTAGCAGCAACCTGTTTGCAGATAGTTGAGAAACATGAGCTGCCTTTCCGAGCCTAATGCAGGGAGCCTTGGAGAGCCACAGATAATTTGCTTTCAATGATTCATCAAGTTGGCCCTCCGCTTCTCTAATGTGAGTGTCAAGTGCAACCATGTAATAAAGAATCGCCAGGACCCGATAAGATTCTTCGCATATTGCTTCGTTTGTCTTAACAACTGCTACTCCTGCAACCCAACCACAAATTGAATAAAGAGCCTGTGTGCGTGCCACAGGAGCGCTCTTGGAAAGCAKAGAGCCTATTTACTGTGCCCTGCTCTGACGTGCCGTACATTTGTGCTTCTTTAACACTTTTTCTGTCCTTAAAAGGGACTAAATGCTGCATCCTGTGCCCCTGCGAGAGGAGGCATTTGTTTCACTGTTAGTCTACCAGTGAATTAGTAAAGATGGAAAAATAGATTTCAATGACAATTGAAGCCATGAGCAAGCTGCTATTCGGACCATGGTTGAGTTAGCCTGCTGATCATTTTCTCCTTAATGTAATATTTAATGTTATATTGGCATAGGTTAGATGTGAAGCCATGTATTAGAACTGTTATTTCCATAAGTAATTTCAAGAGAAATATGTTCATGATGAAGCTACAGATTATTTTTTAAAATGCTCTGCTGTCATTTCAGTAACTTCCTAAGAAATCAACCTTAAAATGGGTTGTTTTGAAGAGGCACATTTATAAACGTGGAATTCCCAGAGCAAGAAATCTGTGCAATTTAATGAATTCTCACAACTGAACTGAGCCCCATTAACACAAAGCACAAAGCAGGAAACAATCAAAAGCTTCAGAAGGCAACCTGGAAAAGAAAAAAAAAAAAAATAGAGAGGGGAAAAGCAGTCAGCTTTTCAGCAGCCAGGAAGATGGCAGTTGGAGCAAGCCGGTGAGAAACTCTAGGTTTACTTTAAGAAAATAAATAAATAAATAAATAAAGGAAGGCAGAGAGCCTGTGTCAGGAGGTTTTATAACTGGCTGTGAGGGCTTGAGGAAAGGCTGCAGGAGAGCGAGCCCGCAAGGGTCGCTAGCGCCGAACAAGTTGCAGGCGTCGATTTTTTGTTGTTGGGGTTTTTTTTTTTTTTTCTTTGTTTTGCCTTTTTTTTTTTCCCCCCCTCCCAGGATGGATCCAGGCTGCTGCCCGAGCGCTGCCAGCGCCCGCAGATCCCGCTGGCGGGGGGTGAACGGCGCCTTTCCCGCTGGGGGCGGGCAGCAGTAACGCGCCGCGGGGCCGTGCGCGGCGGCGGAAGGGCGGCGCGGAGCCCCGCGGAGCGAAGGGGGGGCCCAAGTTGAACTTCCACCCGCCCGGGAGCTCCGGCGCCGGCGGGCGGAGGCGGGGGCGGGCGGGGCGGCCGCGGCCCCGGCCCCGGCTCGGGCAGCTCCGCGGCTCCGGCCGGCGCTTCCGCGGACGAGCGATGTCTGCGGCGCCCGCGCCGCGCGGAGCGTAGCGGGCAGCGGCCGCCCGGCAGCCGCGCACGATGAGGACGCTGATGGTGAGTGCGGCGCGGGCGGCGAGCACGGAGCCCGGGCGGCGAGCACGGCGCCCCGGCCGCCTTCCCCCAGCGGGGGACGGAGCCCCGCGGGCGGCGGCTGCGGCGCAACTTTCCGGCCGCTTTTCTTTTACGCGTGTTGCCGGGGTCGGCGTGTCGCTGCGCCGGGGGCTGCGCGGGTCGGGGCGCGCTCCAAAGCGGGGGACGGAGCCCCGCGGGCGGCGGCTGCGGCGCAACTTTCCGGCCGCTTTTCTTTTACGCGTGTTGCCGGGGTCGGCGTGTCGCTGCGYCGGGGGCTGCGCGGGTCGGGGCGCGCTCCAAGGACGGGGCTGGAGGCACCGGGGCAGCGGCAGCGCCGCCGGCTGCGGCGCTCGGTGGAGCCCCCGGGCGGGCGGTGCGCGGGGGAGAGCGAGGCCGGGACGCGGGCGGGGGGCTCCGCGGGACCGGAGGGGTCCCCTCGTCCTCCCGCCGCGGCGTGAAACTTGCGCGGCCCCGCGGCAGGGGGGGGTCCCGCTGAGCCGCCTCTGTGTGCCCCGCAGCGCCAGGGGCTCGCCGTGTGCGCGGCGCTCACCACCATGTGCACCAGCTTGTTGCTCATGTACGGCGGCATCGGCGGGGGCCACCCGGAGCCCCGGCAGCAGCAGCAGCAGGTGGCGGCGGCGACAACGAGCCGCGCGCCGGGACGCGGCCAGCAGCGCCCGGCGCTGCCCGGCGGCACCGGCCTCCTCGAGGGCTACATCAGCGTCCTGGAGCACAAGGTGAGYGAGCGCCGGGAAACGGGCACGCTCTGCCCCACAGCGCAGGGGACGGGAGCGCTGCGTGGCAGGTGTGAGTGCTGGGGCGACCCTATGAGGCAGGCGAGYGCATGCGGTGGGATGGAAGCAGCGCCAAAGGAGTTGGTTTGGCACCTGGATGGGAAAGATCGGTAGGCAAGTGTTTATCCTTGGTTTGTTCTGTCTTGGGAAGCTGATTTTGCCTCCTAGATGACCTTTCTTTTCTCCTGGAGCAGAAGGTTCCAACCCTGGTCTCTACTTCAAAATATTAGGCTGCTTTGCTAATGATGAGCAAAGTGATGTCTCTTGCTCATCCCTTTCTTTGGTAAGGGAAGTACGTGCCTGGATTGCCCCACTGGGATACTCTTTTACTGGAGACTGGCAGACTAAGCTGTCCTGCCCAAGGGCAGGCTGTGACATATGGTGGGCAAGGTGGGAAGGGCTGTGCTGAAGAGATTCCTCTGCCCTGGATGATAGTCAGGTTTTTCCATGTTCTCCTGAAGAATCCAATGACCCATCTCTACTTAACCTCTAGATAATGTTTGCTACATACAGGCTTAGCAGTAAAAATGTGCAGGGGGGAGCAAAGAGATGATTCCCAACTTCTTAGCATGTTCACATCAAGATGGGAATCTTTCTGAAAGATGCTCTGTAGTCAAACAAGTTACTGAGCTGAGTTTAGAGGTGTTCCTGACTTTGATATACAGCGGTTTTTATTGTTCCTTCTGGCTTCACTTTCTATGCAAGAGCTATCTGTAGTGCTCTTCACATGGATAAATAGCTCATGGTGATCCCTTGCAGGTTTTATTTGCTCTCTTATGTGGTTCTTCTAGAACTTCTCAAACGTAATGGCTGTTGGCTATAAAAAAACAAGTTTGGCCACTTGGCTGCAGCAATGTGAGATGCTGTTCTGTCCTTTCTTGACATGGCTGTAGCAATGAGATATATGAATGTGACTTTTGTGAGCAATAACAATAATTGAGAAAGCATCTACAGCTTTGTAAGGCCTTTTACAGACGGCACAGCCGTCTGACACTGGTAACCTCCTACTGTGATTTCTCCTGGCTCCAAAGATCCCCGTGTTAGTAGACCACACTTAAAATCAGTATTCCAGGTCTGTTATTTTCTGAGGGGATTATAATGTCTCCTTGTGTTTTGGAAAGATCTGCACTTCTAGCTTTTTACTATTTTCTATTATGGCCCTAACCCCACAGATATTGTATTTCTGACTTTCATTGCACTTAGCTCATGCCTCACAGTAATAATCTGCTCAAATCTTAATAACTCTTCCACGTAACTTCTGTGGGTCTAAAGGAAGATAATGCAATTCCCGCTGTGTTCCCAGCCTGCTCTCTCTTTAATGCACGTGAGATCATGCAGAGAGTTACACCATTGTGGTAAACAAGGTAGCAAGGAGGCTGTTACCATAAGGAGATGCAAGGGGAGAGAAGGGTTCGGATTTGACTGTTAATATTGTATATATTTTTAGAAATTAAACAGACCTATATATTTAACATGGATTTAGAGTTCCAGAAAATGTAGGTTTCCTACAGAATAAAAATTGGAGAACATGAAAGATCCTAGGCATCAGAGCTTTGGAAGATGAAGGAGGCAGGATCAGTGATGATGAGAGAAAGAAGAAGAGAGATGTTGCAAGAACTGGGAAATAAAGATTTTTGGAGACAGTGTTTGTTGGGTATGACATTGGAGAGACAGCTTGARTGACAGCATGAAAGTCTGGTCCAAAATGAGAGAAAATGAAGGACTTGGAACAGTTCAAGGAATATTACAACTGCAGGAGGAGAGCAAGATAAAATTCTGTAGCTGTGAGGAGGACGTGATGTTTTAAGAGACAGAGAGCTCTGGAAGGAGATGAAAAGCTCCTGCTGTATGAGGACAACAAGCTTGGTAAGGTAAGGTAGGAAATTACTTCAGTAGTGATTTGTCTTTTTTTGATGGCCCCAGAGGTGGCAGTGTGAAATGACAATTACGGGTAGATTTTTCACAACACAGTTTCACTAATTTTCCAGATACAATCTTAGCTCATCTGTCAAGAAGCTGAATAAACTATGCAAAATCCATCCATTCATGTGCTATCAGCAGCTGCCAATGGTGAACTAAGTGCTGCACTTGGATATATGAGGTAGAATGGGTTTGTAACTTTAGGTGGGCTTTATGCTTCTAGATCCCATAGTTTGGCTGAATATGAAAATCTGATTTAGTGCTTATGATGCTGTTCCTGATGTGCTTAGTGTAAGAATACACATATGTATGTTTGGAGCTATGATAAGTGATGAAGTTATTGATCCAAAGTTACACATAGGAGTGTTGGCGCATACAAAAGTTATTTTATACAGTTGCATACACACTTTTGCTCAAGGATAAAGCTTAACACATTATTGAAATACCACGTAGTACATCGATCACTAACAGCAGTGCAACTCAGTAGTGCTGGCTGATCATGTATGGAGATTTTGTGCTGGAAAATCAGTTACTTGGTTAAAGCATCAGTGATTTTAAAATATAGCTTGYGGTATTATAATTACCAATTACTTCTCCCCTTTTATTTTACATTCAGCAAGAACTGTCCATCCAACTGTCCTGTCAAGATAAGAAGGTGATCCCTGAGAATATGGCTAAAATACGTAATATTCTTTTTGCTAGGTTGAAGTCTTTGTTCCAGAGTCTCTTGCCGCTTGCTCAGACTTGTGATGTTTTGTATCTTAGTGTTTTGCCTCTATAGTTTTTGCCAGCTCATTAATCCCTGAATCAGGCAGCAGAAATCAGGACCAATGGTCAGGGCTTTAGTAACTTGCCACAGCTTAGCAGTGCAAAGTGCATTTTTGTTGAACTGAAGTCTTTATTAAAAAGAGGAYAGAAAGAGGAAAATAGAGCACTTGCTTCAGTGAGTGAGGAGAGTGGTTCTTGCTACATCTCCTCGCTGTGTCCCAGACCAGCAGCAGTTAAAAATTGTCAACTGAGGTGTAAAGTGGATGAGCACTGTATTGTTTCTAGCAGCCAGATGTCCACAGCTCTCAGTGGGCACAGAGAACATGGCTTGCTGATAGTCGCTGTTGAGAGGCCAAGGAGGGAAGGGGAGCGGGGCAATAGCAGCTCCCCTCGGTGCGCGGAGGCGCGATGGAGCCGGCACCACCACGTCCCGCTGTGGCTGCGAAGGACAAGAGGTGCAGACCATCAAGCTAATGTCTTTGGCTAAGTCTTTGAGCATAATCTGGAAATTGGAGAGATTTTGTCACTGGCGTGGAGGGAAGCAGATTTTGCTCTTTTGCAGGGAGACATGAAGATTGATTGTTGATTTAGGACAGGGCTAGGAAGGAATTACAATACTAGCATTTTTAAAGTAATTACTGCCTACAAATAGGAAGCTATTAATGAAAACTAGAAACCTGGCATTGTTCCAAAACTTACAAGAAACAAATATTTAACCATTATATCACTAATCTGAAATGAGGTGAGAACATGTCTTTGSATACTTAAAAAGCTTTTTATCCAGTATTGACTCAACAGTTTGTATTGCAACTAAAATATGGGGTTATCACGTATAYAATAAAACAGTACTGGAATCCATCAAAGAGTTTGTTTCCTAGAAAACACAGCATGTTAGAATCAGTCTTGCAGACAAATGTGTGAGTTTAGACTTGTGCTTAAACCACCTTAAAAGAGTATTGGAATCAACGTGAGAATTTAAATGATTGCAATGGTTTCTTAATAATGTAAATTATCATATGCAAAGAAATCTTTGTGATCCCTTTAAATTAATGCAGATCAGAGAACAGTGTAGTTAATGAAATATTTGAGGAAGAATCGTTCTGCAAGTAGTCCTGTAGCTCCCATAATCTCTGAACCACAAGTACTCACTCTGGGACAAAACTGTTTTTCTCGGATAGGAACTTTTTCCCTCCTAAAAAGGTGAAGCACTTTGCCATGCTTTACGTTCTCTCTCTAATTCTATCAGCTAGAAATAATCTGAAAATTTGATTTACTGCCTAAGTAGTTAAACTGTTGCCATTCCTGCTTCAAATGGCTTGTGGGGTCATTAACCCAAGCTTCACAACTAGCTTTTGCAGAACCCAGAAATGACACAATTATTTTGGAGGYTTTAGTCTCTTCCTAGTGCCTTTATCATGGATTCATGATGCAAGTTAGAGCAAAATGGCTTGTCTTGCCCAAGGTGGGCTCAGCCCACTGAGCTGAAGCTCCGTGCACCGTGGTTTCATTGCAGGTTGCTGTTAGCCCTCATGAAATCCTCACCTGTAGAGGAAGGAGCTCAGACTTTATGAGACAGCACGGGATGCTCTGTGTGCCTTRTCGAACCGCTGCATAGTTCAGGGAGCCTCATAATGTCAGAGATCCACAAGGGGGAGACTTTATTCTAGAATAACCTTGTTGGGGGACACGTCCGCGGGCCATAAATCTCAGCAAGGGGAGACTCCGAAAATCCTCTCTGTCCGTGTTTTGCTGGTCACGTCTCTTTTCTTGGAGGTAATGCAGTTTCTTTTTAGTTTATTAAGCTTAAGYTTATTAAAACCCTCATAAAGATGACAGATGACAGTGTTTTTTAATATGTATATATAAAAAAAGCAGGATTTTGACAACAGGAAAATGTAATTGGATGTCGGTGGGCACGCACACACACACCCCCTCCAGAGACAATTACATTCCACCAGTTTTACTCAGTATTTGAATAATGACTMTCTTGTGATTTGAATTTTCTCCCTTTTGAGCTACTTGCAGTACTCCACTTTTTCTGCCTAATGCATCATAACACTGGGCTCATTCGTTTTGATGATTCTTGTCTGAAATTTTTTAGCAGYCTCTATGTGGGCTAGATGATAACACTTACTGTGCAATACAGAGGATATGACAGTGATGGAAAACGGCACCTTTAGCAGTTTTCCAGATTGCTTGGCACCTCTGCAAAGCGCCAGCAGTCCTCGCTTGGCACAGTTTCCACTTACAGTATC